AATTTACATACATACATACATATACGTATATGTATACATATATGTGTGTAGATATGTAAAAGGTATTGCTGTCTGGCCGCTCTACGAGACATTCGCTCTGGTCGTCTGTCGGTCGCGCAGCGAGTCCGTCGCGCCCATGCCAAGCTAGCAAATGTCATGCTGGCGTCCTCTGGGACCTGGGCCGACCCTGTCGATTCTGACACTCACATGGGACAGTTGAAGACTGACACGCGACACCAGGACATCCAGGATATCCAGGGCGCATCCACGCATCCCAGGAGGAAGTCTTCCTCAGCCGAGAAGTTTGCAAGTGATCGTTCTCGGCGGGGGCGCACCTGACAGGAGGTGGGTCTCCAGGCTGCGGCGGATCCGCTCGGCAATCGACTCGCCGACCCTGCGGACATCGCGCGGGAACTGCGTCGGCATTGGGCGGGGCGCGCGCTGCGGAAACCACGGGCCAGAGCTCGCTCGGCCATGTCCACGAACATGCGCAGAACGCTCCCAGCGGAATCTTCTGGACCATCGGGTTTGGCGAGTTCAGCGCAATCGCGAAAGCTGTTCCTGACTCCGCCCCCGGGCCCGGCCGCGCCCCTTGCTCTGGGCGGGTGGGGCGCGCCCAGCGCAACTTGTTCGCCGGCCATTTTGGCCAGGGTACCTTGCGCCCCTGCCTCGACGATGCCCGCGCGGTCTTCCTCGATGAAAGCGAATTCCCCGGGGGCCTCGGGCAGGCCGCGCGCGCGCGATGCCGCGCGGACTCGGCCTGCCATGCTGTCCAACACTAGCAACGCGTTGTTGCGCCAAGCCCAGAACAGGCCTCGCCGCTGAAGTCCGCCAGCGCGACGCGTCGGATTTCAGAGAGCGTTCGCTCGCATGGGGCGCGCGGGCAACCATAGTCTAGTGCTAGAGACAAGGCTCATTCAGCACGGCGTGCACCGCGCCTGTAAGTTCGATGGCATGTGCATGCGCGACATCAAAGCTGTCTCACCCTCGCTGCTGCATGGGGTCATCCCTGGGACTCTGGAGTGCATGGGCCCACTGCCTTACATGTGAGAGCGGTGCGTGCTTGATATCGATAGCGCGCGGTTGCTGCACTCTTCGCGGGCCTCCAGGAGGCCACCTTCATGTTGATCCGCGACATCGAACAATGGCGCCCCCTCTCTGGCAGCCGATTAATTCATGCGTTCGATCCAGTGCTGCGGGCCACGGCGTCGAGCATCCCGCGTCTGCCTCGCGGCCGACGCGCTTCTCCAGAGCCCCGCTTGGGATGGCGATGGGGGGGGGGGGGGGGCATGGGGCCCTTGCCGACGGCGCTGGCGTTGCGCCCCTGAACGATCTAGACGTTCTCGCAGGCAACATGGCAGTATGTCGCTTGGTGGGCACTGGATTCGGATTCGATCCACCGCCAGAAGACGTCCGTGATATTTCCGCAGGGGTTCGACCGTGGGGCTCTCTCGTCGGAACAGCAGGCTCGGGGGTTGGAGCCCATCGGGGTTCGATGTTTGGGCTGATTCTTGGATTTCTGTTTGGACGTCGCGCCAAGATTGGTTCGCATTAGGGTCCGCTCGCCAATTGTTGTTGATTTGTGCACGTTCCGTCAAGTCTCTCGGCCCCGGGCTCGTCAAAATGATTGCGCTGTGAAGCCAGAGCGCCTACCGATGCATCTCGTATGTAGCGCGGCACTCTGTCGCACGCCACGATGCACTTAGGTCCGAGTCCGACGCAGTCCAGCTTCTGACTGGTGCCCCGCGGCACGCATGCTTCGCCGTCGCAGCGGTCGGGCGCTGCACGTGCAGGCTAGGATGCTCAACACCACCTGCAGGGCCGCGGTGTATCGTCTAGCCATGACGTCGTCTTCCTTCCAGAAGATTCGCCGCCTGCTGGCCGAGTATAGTGAAACTGACGAGTGCGTCGTGTCTTGGGCCGCCAGTGAGCTGTGGACCTTCTCGGGCACACGGCAAATTGTTGGGAATTCCGAAGCTCTCATTGCAATGCCGAGCATTACTGCGCTCTCGCCAAATAGACAATCCAAGGTCGAAGCTATGCTACGCGCGCACATGCTAGTGAGCAGTGCCTGCGTGCGCGGATGCTGCACTTTTTCCTTGGGGCCTCCCTGGCCATTTTCGAGTACGGATCGCTCTGTGTGCTGCGGCTGGGATATTTCGCCCCATCCGTCTGTGGTCGTTGTGGTGGTCAGGTCCGTCTGCAATGCCTGGACCACCTCCATGAGGTTCCCTGGGCCTGTTCGTCCGTGTTTCCATTGTGAGGCCCCGAGCGGGGATAGCATGTCCCACGTCCTCGCCTGTCCTGTTTTCTCTGCTGCTGCTGCGTTGCCAATCCTCCCCGCCTCCTTCCCCGCCTCCTCGAGTCTCCAACGTGTTTTTCTTGTCCATTCAGCCCCATTGGCAACCATGGGTTTGTCCCTGTCGCCCTGTACATTGATGCTGTCTTTCATGCACACCGCGCTGCTAGGTCCAACTCTTGCTTTCACAGGTATTCGCTTGCGTCGCGATTTGCACGTGCACGTTTCCATGCCATGTTCCATCGGCAGGCTTCCCTTGCGCAGGTTGTACATGGCATGCATCTCCACTGACCTCTCTTTTCTTGGCTGGTGCGTTTCTCGTCCTCCTCCTCCTTCTCCCTCATCGTTCCTCCTCCGTCCGCCTCATCATTATCGTAATTATCCTTCCTTCTCCGCCCCCCCTTCTCCTTCCTCCTTTTCCTCCTCGTCCTCCTCCTCCTCTTTATCCCCACTCCCTCCATCCTACCTCCCACATCTTTCTGCCTCCTCTCCCCCTCCTCCTCCGTCCTCCGCCCCCCTCCCTTTTCCTTCTCCTTCCCTTCCTCTTCCTCCTATATCCTCCCTCTCCTCGTCCTCTGATTTCCCTTGTCCAGATCGTCTCATTGTCTTATTTCCGTTGTCCGTCCTTCCTTTGCTGGCTAGTGTTGGCCCTCCTCCATTTCCTTCCCTCCCCCGGTCTCCCCCCCCGTCTTCATGCCCATTCCTGATCCTTCATGCACTTCTTCCTCTGAACAGCGGCCGCGCTCCGCCGCCGCCGCCACCGGCGTCGTCGCCGTCCTCGTCTTCGTCGCCGCCCGCGCCGTTCGTCGTAGACGTCGTCGCCGGTGCCGTCCGTCGTCGCCGTCGTCGTCGTCGGTTTTCTGTGGCGCGTCTCGTCGTGATCTTCGCTGGCGCTGCTCGTCGTCGGCTTCGACGTCGTCGTCGTCGTCGCAGGCGTCGGTTTCGGTCGCCGTCGTCTTCGACGTGGTCCGTCGTCGGTGTCGTTGTCGTCGTCGTCGGCCTCGTCGTCGTCGTCGTCGTCGTCGTCGTCGGCCTCGTCGTCGTCGTCGTCGTCGTCGGTTCGCCCCCGCGGCGGCCAGCGGCGGTGGTGGCGGCTGCGACCATCCCTTCGCCCGTACCCCTGTCCGCCTGGCAGGGAGAAGAGCGGTTTGCCGTCTGCGCTGTGTCTGCCCAGGGGCGAGATCTGCGCGTCCGTCTTGAGCTCGGTTGGCCCAGTGCCCCGAGAACAGTGTTGCGTCGTCTCGGGTGTCTTTTTTGCATCCGGTCGCGAGGCGAGTGCGGCCTGGCAAAAATCGGAGTGGTACATCGTAGATCGCACACGCTCTCTTGAGGAGACAGACGAAGGAGGAGAAGGCTGATGACGAAAAGGACGACCGAAGAGGAGGAGGAGGAGGAGGAGGAGGAGGAGGAGGAGGAGGAGGAGGAGGATAAGGGGGAGGAGGGGGAGGAGGAGGAGGCGGATTAGATTGAGACACGGTTGGACGAGGACGCCGAGCTTCAGGCATGCCGAAGAAAAGGGAGTCGGAGGAAGGTTGGGTGGACCACCGCAAGGCCTAGGAAGGGCAATATCCGATCGGCACCGCCGGGCCACGCGGCTTTTTCAACATTTGCGTGTCCTCCTCCTCCTGGGCTCCTCTCTTGTTTGTACAGTACCCATTGGTCGTTGAAAACGGGTATTTCTGGAGCCCCAGACTCCAATCTACTTCAAGCGCCGTCCGTCCTACATCAATGATCGAGTGGCTTCCCCTCTTCCCTCCTCTTCAGGGGGCGGGCGGAGACCCAACCTACTTCCAACGCCTTCCTACTTCATGCTTCTACCTACTTCTGCCGACCGATGGGCAGGGGCGTCACATAAGAAATTGGCCTGCCAGTAGTTGCCCCACGTAAGTCTTTCGTCCCCCAGCGGCCCCGGAGGCCCACAGAAGCAATGGGGTATCTTGAGGCTCTCGAGGTTCGACGGGGAATGTGCCCTATGATGTCTGATAGCATGGCGTCTCATCTCACGTGCCTCCTCCTCCTCCTCCTCCTCCTCCTCCTCCTCCTCCTCCTCCTCCTCCCCCTCCTCCCCCTCCTCCTCCTCCGACCACTCCAGATCTCGAGGCACGGGGACCAGCAGGCGTGACCCACCAGACCGACGCTCCCCTTCCAGCCCTGTCCTCCGCGGCCCCGCGCAGACCCTCGTCCCCGTCCCCATGCTCTCGAGAGTACGGCAGCAGGAGCGATCAGAAAGCTTGCTACAAGAACTCTCGGGGCACGGCTGTCGTCTAGCCTGAAGCTCCCTGAGGAGCTGCTCGCGGCCTCTGTTTGCCGCCGCTTCCGTGCCAATCGTTGAGTTCGTTCCAGTTTTCGTTGGGTCTCTCCAAGGACAGGTCGAGATGAGACCTCGAACCGCGGGAACCTTCAGATGAGCCAAGCTCGGGGGCTGGGCTGAGTGTCGCGACGCCTCTCCACTCCTCTCCCTGCGCCTCCTCGCCGCTCGACCTCTCGTGTGTTCCCGTCTCTCCTCTGAGTGGTGCGTCTGCGGTCTCCCACGGATGCTTGTTATTATGTGTAAGAGTGTGTGTGGCTTCACGTTTAGAAGTGATCGAACCGTTCGGGCCTTTGCGCATGTTGCAGCCCCCTCCGTTCAGGCCTGTACACTCTTGCTTTTGCTGCATACGTCCCCGCCCTCATTCTTTGTATCCTGTTCATCCTCCTCTATAGCCATTTTGGCTCAAGATCGGGGCGAGCAGGAGACCCTGATCGTGCTACCCTGCGCTACACTTCGTACGGCCTCGCTTGGCGCCATGGATCTAAATGATATGTTCAATAGACTTGAGCAGCTCGACGACAACACCAAGGCTGCCATGGCTGCGGGGGTTGCCGTCGTCGTTATCGTTGTGCTGGTCATTCTCGCCAACAAGGTCCTGAATTGGATTGTAGCGGACGACAAAAAGGACGGAGGAGCGTGGGTGGCCAGCAGCGAGAGGTTCCTGGTGGAGAACGAGGGGGTCGTAGCGGTTGACGACGGCGAGGCGAAGGAGTCCAAGAATCCCCGCCCCATCCGTTGCTCATGTCGCTGCTGTCCCTGCTCCTCTCCTTCCTCTTCACCCTCCTCCTCCCCACCTCCCCTGCCTCCGTCGTAGTAACTCTGGCGTCCTCCACGTCCCTTTCTCATCCTCTACTCCCTTCGTCCTTCTCCACCAATGTTCTGCCTCCTGCTCCTCCGGCGTCCTCGTTCCGCGCCTGTGTCCCCTTCTTCCGTCCTGCTGCGCCTGTTTCTCCGGCTCCCTCCCGCCGTTCCCTTCCTCGTCCTCCTCAATCGTCCCTCCCTCCCTCGGGCCCTTGCTCTAATCCGTGCTTCGGTGCAGATGGTCTGAGCGCCTCGTCTCCGTCGTCGTTGTCGCGTCGTGGCCGTGGTGCGTGTTGCTCTGCTCTGGGTTCGTTTCGCTGACGCAGTGACCATCACCACCCACCATCGTCCCTCCCTCCCTCCCCCTCGCCCATTTCCACCGCTCCCGGGGATTCCTGATTGCGACCCCGAAGCGGTACAGTCAGGCCCCTGAAATAAGGTCCAGTTCGGGTTCGGAAGGGGCTCGGTGGTTCCATGGGTCTGCTGGCGTTCCCTCGCCATTACGCCACAAATCCCCCTCGGCGTTCCTTGGAAGAGGGATGGGGTCTCTGCCCAAACCAGAGGCAACGATGAGGGAACGCCTCCAAAAAGGGGCTCGGTCGTTCCTTAGAAATGTATGACTTGATTTTGAAAACAGGGGCTTCGTTCCTCATTTAGCGTTCCTTCTGGCAGGGGCCTGACTGTAGATCTGGATACAGCGTCAGCGCCAGAATTGTACACACACACACACACATGCAAGGGCCCCCCTCCTCCCCTTGGGATGGAAAAAGTTGGCGGGTCGGGCAAGTAATTATTCATTATCCCCCGATGGATTTTCGACGTCGCCGTCGTCGTCTTCGTCGACTCTCCATCTTCTATTTCTCTTTCTCTTTGATGAACGAATATTCAGTTTTTGGCACCCCCCACACTACTCCATCCTATCATTTTTGCTCCTTCCATGCTATCTCGGAGGTTCGGGAGTGAGATCGAGATGAAATAGAGACCCCCACCAGTAAATCAGTTTCGATGTCGTATTCGTGACGCGCTTGCGGGCGAGGCGAAGCTGCGTTTGCGGGCGAGAGGAGTGATCCTGCCTGCCGTTGCTAAGGCGAAGTCAGAGCAAACATCTCTATTTCCCCTGGTTGGCGGCCGATGGCCCACGGTTGTTGTCCCGCGGTTGTCCCGCGGTTATCCCGTCGGTTGTCCCCATGGTTGACCACATACTTGTTCCGACGGTTGTGCCCGACAGTTGTGTCGACGGTTGTCGCCATGGTTGTCCCGATGGTTATCCCGACGGTTGCCCCGATGTTTATCCCGCTGGTTGAACCGATGGTTGTCCCGATAGTTGTCCCGATGGTTGTCCTGATTGCGGTCAGCCAGGCCAAAGCGCTCGGTGCCTTCGGCGCCTGGTGATTCTGGCGACGACAGCAGGCCCGCTGTGTAGATCGATCGATCGATAGTAGGTAGTGGATGTCGGTCGATAAATCGCAGGCCCGATATGCAGATCGATTGCCAGGTTGATAGTGAGATGGATAAAAGGTGAGATCGATTGATGCAGGCGCTGGAGGGTTTTCTCCTAGCGCCGGACACTGGGCCAACGCCACGAGAAGGTGTGGGCTTGCACCACGAAGTTTGCAACGTGTAGGTTGCACCACGTAGATTGCACCGTCTAGCTTGCGACGACGTGGGTATGCACCGCATAGCTTGCACCACGTAGTTTCCACAGAGCCTACACCGAGCAGTTTGCGGCGGTGCTGGTTTGCACCACAGAGTTTGCTCAACACAGCTTCCACCACATACTTTGCGCCATGCACCTTGCACTAATGGCTTGCAGCGATGTGGGCTTCCACCACAACCAGGGCAATCGCTAGGGAAACTGAGGCCGATATATTCAGATCGACATGATAGCGAGGCCGATAGAGGTTGCTCGCTTGATGGACACTTTTGTCGCGATGGTTGTCCCGTCGTTGGTTCCACCGCCCAACTTCCTTGTCCGCCGTTGGCCCGGCCCTCGGACCCATCCCATATGGGGGGTGGGGGGGGCCGCTGGGCCAGAGGCCTAGAGCACATACTGCGAAGGCCTTACGGCTGGTGCCGCCGACCTTGAAGACGACGAAGATGAAAGGGAGGGGGGGGGTGCAGGGGGAGAAGGAGGAGTGGCAGGAGGAGGAGGAAGGGGTGCGTCGGTCGATTTCTTCTCGTCTGTTGTCTCCTTTCGCTGCGGCTTGTCCTGCCTGAGAGAGGGATGAAGATGAGGAGGACAAGGAAGATGGGAAGGGATAGGAGGAGGAGAAGAAAGATGATGGAAAAAGAGGAAGAGGAGGAGGAGGAGGAAGAGGAGGAAAAGAAGGAGGATGAAGAGAAGGACGAGGAATGGGAAGAAGATGGAGGTCAAGAGAAGGAGGAACATCAGGAAGAAGAGGAGGACGGATCAAAAATGAGGAGGAAAAGGAGAAGAAGGATAATGAGGAGGAGGGAGAGGAGGGAGAGGAGGACAGGAAGGCGGAGGAGGAGGAGGAGGAAGAGGAGGAGGAGTAGAAGGTGCAATAGGAGGAAGAGGAGGGGGACAGATGAGGAGCAGGAGGAGGAGAAGGGAGAGGAGGAGGAGAAGAGGAGGAGCCTCTTGGAGTCTTTGTGGGGGTGTTCTTGGAGAGCTCCTGGGACGTCTAGGAGGCTTCTTGGATCGTCTTGGGGCCATCTTGGCCGTGTTGGGCCGATCTTTGAGCGACACGGGGTTCTTGTAGGCAATCTTGGGAGCCATCTTCGGCATTCTGGGTTTTTCGGAAGGATGTTCGATATGTCGGGGCCGCCCAGGGGAAAACGAATCTGGGTTTCGACCCCCCCGCGGGTCCCCCTCCCCTCCGCGGGGAAGGGATCAAAGAGAAGTAGCTTCCTTTCGACTCCATTACGACGGTGTACAATTTCGCTTTGGATGGCACGCTTGAGGAGGGCCCAGGGAAAAGGGCGGGGGACGACGGATACGGCGAGGAGACGACTGTGACGACGACGAAGACGACGAGGAGACGACGGAGACGAGAAGAACTCGAACGGAGAAGCCCCTCGCACACGCCGACGGGGTCGGCGGATTGGTGCATATCGGTCTCGCTATCTGTGTATCGCCTTCGCTATTGATCTATATTGTGGTCGATCTATCTATAGGCGGGGCGGCCACGGGGCGACCACGGGACAACAAACGCGGCAGCCACGGGAAAACCACGAGACAGCCACGGGACAGCCACGGGACACCCACGGGGCAACCCCGGGGCAACCCCGGGATCACCACGGGATCACCACGGGACAATCACGGGACAACCACGAAACCACCACGGGACAAGCCGGGGACAGCCATGGGACAACCACGGGACAGCCACAGTACAACCGTGGGCCTCGCATAGGATAACCGCTGGACAACTAAAAAACGTCCACACAACAACCACGGGACAGCCACGTGATAACTACGGGACAACCGCGGGACAATTCCACTCACCACGTTGCTAACTGGACCCCGGCCCGATGTGGCTTGACCTGGGCAGAGCTACTGCAGGAAGTCGCGCAGTTTCGCTTCGTCCATACGCAGATGACGAATGACACGAGCGAAAACCGAAGACGAGCTGCTGGGTGGGAGACTTCTGTTTCACCTCGGCCTCATCTCCCCAACCTTCGGTATTACACGTGGACTCATGACGGTGGACCCAGGCATTCACGTGTGAATGCGGGTAAACGCCATGAGACATTCTGTCTGGTTAAACCCCCCGAGGACCAGCTGGTCGGCAAGTCGGCGCCGAGGCATCCGCTGAAGAGGCTCGCCTTGCCCCAAGAGGAGGGGGAGGAGGAGGAGGAGGACGAGGAGGATGAGGATCGACTATCGAGGGCTGAAGAGGGGGAGGACGAGGAGGATTGGAATCCTGACTTTCTGGAGCGGGGTTGCCTCCTGTGGCTTCTCTGGCCTCTGCTGACCTCTGGAGGCCTCTGGGGTGCTCCAAGGACCTGTAGAGAGCCCTTCAGCTCCCTTGGGCAAGTTTCGCCAGCATCTCGCCGACATATCATATCTCTTTCTTGATCCTCGCCTCCCTCGCGCCCTCCCACTCCTCGTCCTCGTTCTCCTTGTCCTCCTCCTCCCTCCTCCTCATCCTCCTGCTCGCCTCCTCCTCATCCTCATCCCAGTTCTCGTCAACCTCCTCCCGATCCGTGCCCTCTTCATCCTCATCCTCCACCAATGAGAACTGAGCTGAAGTCGGGCCTGTTCCCATACAGGAGGAAAATCCAAAAGTTGTAAAAAATAGTCTGGGGACGATGTTTTGATTGTTTTCGAATCTTGTTGAAGATTCGTTGTGTATTGCGAAGGCCTTACAGCCGGTGCCACTGACCCTGAAGACGGCGACGACGAGGACGACGAGGATGCTGAGGAGCAGGTGGCGGAGGACGTCAGGGAGCAGGAGGGGCGAGGAGGAGGAGGAGGAGGAGGAGGTGCGAGGGGGGAGGAGGAGGACGAGGAGGGGGGGGAGAGGGACGAGGAAGGGAAGACGAGGAGGGGGGAGAGCAGGGGGGAGAGCGAGGCGAGCAGGGACGATTTGCAGGAGAAGGACGGATGACAAGGAGGAGGGGCAGCGGAGGAAGAGCAGGAGCATGTTTGCCGCGTCCTGCGGCTTTTCTTGGCCGCCGAACCGCCCGAGGGGGAGTCGTATCCGCCCCGAGACCACCCCAGGACCCCCCCCCCCAGGACCGGCCCGCTCGATCCCCCCCCCCCGGCGGGGAAGGGATCAACAGAAAGGAGCTTCCCTTCGACTCAACTACAACATTGCTGAATTTCGCTGTTGCTGGCGCGCTCGAGGAGGAGGGCCCGGTGAAAGTGGGGGGAGCGGCGACAGGCCTAAGGACAGGGGGGGGGTGAGCGGCGAAGGCGACGACGACAACGACAACGACCACGACCACGACGACGACGACGACGACGACGACGACGACGACGACGACGACGACGACGACGACGACGACGAGTCAAACGGAACAGCCTCTTCCACACGCCGACAGGGTCGGCGGATTTTTATTCTTCGTGCAAAATCCGCCTGTAGGGGGACACGCCCGACATAAAACTAAGCCCAGACTCTTCTCGACAGCTGGATCCATCGATCTTTCACCCAGCCCGTCTAGTGGGGCAGGAAGACGGGAGGAAGACGGAGGGAGCGACGAAGGGGAGGAGGAGGGGGAGGGGAGGAGGAGGAGGAGGAGGAGGAGGAGGAGGAGGAGGAGGAAGAGGAGCAGGAGGAGAGGAGGAAGAGGAGGAGAGGAGGAGGAGGAGGAGGAGGCGGAGGAGGAGGAGGAGGAGGAGGGGGGGGGGGGGAGGTGCAGGCGGAGGAGGAGGAGACGGCGGGAGCAGGCGGGAGCAGGAGGCCGCCGCGGGAGGCTGGCGATTTTCTTGGTGGTGGCCCTGCTGGTGGTGCTGCCGCCGGTGGCCGTCGGCGTGGCCGTGGTGGTCAGGCGCGGCCAGGAGTCTCTCGCCCTTGGCGGGATGAGGGTGGGAAGAGCCCAAAGGATCAGGAGGACGAGGGACCTCCTCCTCCTCCTCCTCCTCCGCCGCCTCCTCCCTCCTCCCTCCTCTCTCCCTCCTCCTTCCTCCCTCCTCCCTCCTCCCTCCTCCCTCCTCCTCCTCCTCCTCCTCCTCCTCCACCTCCTCCTCCTCCTCCTCGCAGGAGGACGAGGGACCGAGGAACGCAAACAGAAATTAAGAAGGAAAGCGAGAAGCCATTCCCCAAGCAGTGCCTGTGCACTCAGGGGCTGTTACTTTGGTTGCTAAGGGATCGGATGCAACCCCCAGTGTTTCGCTACGCCGTCGCCCGTCGCCGCCTCGTTGCCGCCCAACGCTCTTGGGGGGTCCAACGAGATTTCGCCACGCTGCCGCCCGTTGCCGCCTCGTCGCCGCCACGTTGTCGCACAGCTTGCACTTCCGGAGTGCAATAACTTCTTGCTTGGGGTCCACGCTGGCAAACACAATGATAATAGGTTCCACGATCTCCAAGGCTCCCCGTATGTCCAAGATTCCATGTCGTTCCGCACCAGCTCCAGAAACGAGGGCCGCTAGACACTTCAGAGCTCTTGGAACGCATCCTGAGCCAATCACATCATGGCATCATTCTCGTCCCAATTTGAGGCGCCTGGATCAAGGCGGGGCCCCGTCTCCGCACAAAAAAACCGACGCGCGCCGTCTCAACGAAGGCGGCGCCGCCGACCTCCTGTTTCCAGGGAGGAGGAGGAGGAGGAGGAGGAGGAGGAGGAGGAGGAGGAGGAGGAGAAGGCGGAGGAGGAGGAGGAGGAGGAGGAGGAGGAGGAAGAGGAGGAGGAAGAGGAAGAGGGACCTCCCCCGATCCTTCGATCTGGCGCCCACGCACCAGATCCACGGATCCGTAAGGAATTTCGGCGCGAGCCCAAAGGCAGGAGGGGGGACGAGGGTGTCCGCGGCTGGGTCGGCTCGGCCGCTTCGCGGTCGGTTGTGTTCGGTCGGCTCCGTTCGGCCAGGTTGCTGCGCCGCTGCGTCCTGCTGGGCCGGCCCAGTCCAGCTTGAAGCAGTGCTGGAGGAGGGGGCAGAAGAGCCATGGGGAGAACATGGAGGAGTAGGAGGAGGAGAAGGCAAGAGAAATATCTCCTCTCCCCTTCCTTGTCGCTTTACTGCGCCTCTCCATTTCGGGATCGCGTTCCCCCACCCCCTCAGGAGCTCCGGCTGACCATCCGTCGCATCTGCGTTCCCCCTTCTCCCCTTGCCCTCTCCGCTCTTCGTCCGTCGTAGTCTACACGTTGAGGTCAACCGACGTGTTGTGACTTCGTGCGCGGATGCGGCACTTCGACGATGTGCCCGCATGGGGGGCCGTCGCCCTCTGACAATGATGGGAGCTGGCTGCACCTCGGAGTCCCCGCTCCTCTTCTGGAGGCCCCCGAGGCCCGAGATGGCTGACAGACGCTGGCACGGTTCCACCGTCGCTCCCTCGACCCGTCGGCCCCTCCTCGGCCCTCGAAACATTTGGCAAGGCATCGGTCCCTCGACCGCCCCCCTCTCTCTCTCTCCCCAGTCGCCCGCTCTCCGCGGCTCGACAGCGCCAGGGGTCGACCCACAAAGACGGTGTGCTGGGCGACGTCGTGGGCCGTTTGCGCTCCGGCTTCGTTCTGCAGCACAGGCGCTTTCGAGGCAAAACGAGGGAGAAGGATCCAGGCCTCCCACAGTCGGGGCCCTGAAGAAGGAGCCCTTTCTGTTGGGGAGGGGCTCCGTGTTCCTTAGTTGCTTTACAGTGCTCCTTGGGTTTGCCTGAGGTTTTCCATGGAACATCGGAGTTTAACCTCTGGGAAAAAGGGGCCGCGTTCCTTATTTATCGTTCCTTAGGTCAACTCCCCGACGGTAGATGGGGTCGGAGGATCGAGCCGCGTCGTCGATGCATCGGGGATGCGGCTCGATGCGGAGCCCGATTTGCTTCACGTCGACGTCGCCGATGCATCGCCCACGTCGACGATGTATCGGCGATGCCGCGCGATCCCCCGACCCCATCTACTCCGACCTCATCTAGGAGGCCTCTAAACGAGCACAGCCCGAAAACGAAACACGTTGTTTTGTTGGAGAGCCCCGTCTGCCCCCAGGAGCTCCACATGAAGGGCTACGGCCCGTGGATCGAGCGCCTCTACCAGGGAGCCTTCTACACGGTCAGGCTCCGAGGGTGCCCGGGGCGGCTGTGGACGGTCGACGGCCAGAGAGGCGTCCCCATCCCCCCCCAACAGAAAAAACATAACCCTCCTCTTCATATCCTCATATCCGTATGTCCTCATCCTCATCCTCATGTAGTGCCCTTCCCCCCCAAACAAAGAAATCCTCATCTTCAGGTTTTCATATCCTCATCCTGATCCTCATGTGTTTGCCTTCTTTTTCTCTGGCAGCAGCCCGCAGCAGACCCGGGGTACCGAACGGCCGAGCCCGGGATAGCCGCGCGACCAAATCAAACCGAGGCACGCTCCAGGATCTCGGAGGGAAGAGGGGAGGAAGGGAAAGGAAGGAGGGAGCCAAGAAGAGACGGGGAAAGGGAGAAGAGGGGAGGAGAGGAAGGAAAGGCAGGAGAAGAGGGGAGGAAGGGACGGAGAAGAGGGGAGGAGAGGAGGAGGAAGGAGGAAAGGATGGCCCTCTCCACCTCTGAGCCCGTGCTGGCTTCCGGAGGGGGTTTGGGGAGGGGAGGTAGCTCGTTGCCGCTGCTGCCTACAGCCGCCGCTCCTGCACCCCCCAGACCTGCACGCAGGGACCCCCAAACCCCTCGAGGCCAAAGGCGTAAGTCGGGCCTGTCCCTCTACAGGAGGAGTATTCCCAAATAGTCCAAACATATTCCGGGAACGAGGGTTTGCCTATGTTTTATTATTTGTGTTTGGTATGGTTTGGCAATGTTTCGTTTTTCGTCCAACATTCGCCTGTCAGGGGACATGCCCGACCGAACCCAAACCCCTCCAAGGCAAAGGCACAATGGCACCTGATGGAATGATAACCACACAGTGTTGGGACCCTGGTGCTTCCTGCAGATGTTCTTCTCGAGTTCGGCTGCGTCTGCCCTGGCTGCATTGCGCTCCACCGCCGTACGTTGGAGCTGCTCTTGAAGTGCATGCAGCTGCCCTGCCATCTCCACCACCGCATCTTGAAATGTTAGGTGTTCGCCAGGAGGAGGAGGAGAAGGACGAGGTGGAGGAGGAGGAGGAGGAGGAAGAGGAGGAGGAGGAAGGTGGCCATCTTCCTCTCAATTGGGGGGGGTCCCCCACCCATGCCACCTCTGAAGGAGTCCCCAGCGCCCGCCCAAGTTTTTTCGTGCGTGCGATGGGGCTCAGGCGGCCCAGTGCGGGGTTGCCATCGGCCTACAACCCTCTCAGCGTGATGGGGACGCGCGCCCTGGCCAACTTCATCCTGTGCTTCATCGGCACGCAGAGGTGCGCGGTGTCGGCCGTGCTGCTCGGCCCCATCGCCAAGGCCCACCAGTTCAGCTCGATCGATTGGGGGTGGGTCTTGACCACGCACGTCGACAAATCAGGTGTCCTTCAGATAGGGCGGTATGAGAACAAGCTCCCATGTGGTTGGTGGAGAGGGTTTGCCCCAGTACTACGAAACCTTCGCGGCAGAGTAGGAGCAGTGCGCGTGGAGAGAGGGTCTGTACGCCTCGTGCTGAATGCAATGCACTTTCCGCCCGCACCGAGCAGAGGCCGTGAACTTCGTGAGCCATGGCAGCGGAAGGTGAGACCGATGAGGTGGCCATATTCACTGGTGGGGTCCACAAGCGCACGCTGGTCAACTGTACTGCGCGGCGACTTGAACGGTCAGCTAGCCGAGACCCCACAGGTGACGGGCATGTACCATGTGCATGAACTCAACTACACAAGTGAGATAGCAGCACCTGGGTTTCGAGCGCATGGTATGTGCGCCATCAACACACTTCTCCCGACGGGCGTTCCCACGTACTACAACAGAGGGGTGGTGAAGACAAGCGGCTACATCATGGTACCGCAAGAGTGGCACAAAGCTACGATGTGGTGCAGGACATTGGCACGGTCGGAGGGGCGTCTTCAGCTACACAGCCAGAGTGCGGGGGGGGGATCATCTACGACGGGGAGCATGTTTCATCGACGTGAGTGGGCCGCCATATGAGCTGACCAAGCTGACAAAGGTCAGCAAAGAGATGACAAAGATGCTCCAGCAAGGTGATCGACGGCCCGAATTTGTGGAGGCGGGCGAACCACAACTACGAAGGCGCCTCCATCTGCTTCGAGCGCTCCTATGGGGCGAGATCCTAGAGTTTGCCAACGCGGCAGGCGCAGGGAAGCACCACTGGGGCACTGTAGGCTACGTGGTGGGCCACGCCGAGCAGACGAGAGTTGTCAGAAAGTTACTTCGACAGCGACGTGATGCACGTGAGAAGTTTCGGTTAACTCATGGCCGACAGGTATTATTCCGAGCAGGATGTTCCAGAAATCAATGCACGATTTGTGGCGCAGTATTCTGGTCTGAAGACGTGAGTGCTGCTGTGGAGCGTGGGATGTGTGTGGACAGATCTCGACCAGCGGCGTTCGTCAAAATGCAAACGACACGATGCCGACTACGTGAATTTGCTGCGGAGGAGCCTCAAGCACTGTGGCAACACATTCGGAGTGCCCATCTGGCCGCACATCGTGAAGGCCATCTTCTCGAGCTGGGGGTCGTGGCGGATCACGGGAGATGCGCTGAAGAAGGGAGAGAAGGACCCCAATCGCGGCAAGTCCAAGGAGTCGGACGACTTCGGCACCAAGAAGATGCTGGTCCAGCTCGAGGCGCGCATGAGAGCGAAGGAGAAGTACACCATGACGCAGGTCCCCCTTCCTGCGGATCACCCACGGGTAGTGTGGCGCCAGGCCCAGTACCAGTCGCACCTCGTGCAGGTGAAGAAGGACCAGCGCGAGCGCGGGCCGCCAGAGCTCAACATGCGTGCGAGGGCTCCGAACGATATCGAGAGTTGGGTGGCAGAGGCCCCATCGAGGTAAGAAGTACGTGGGCCGAGAGTGCGCAGCATGCACGAGCAGGGCAAGAGCGAGGACGCCAGCGAGTGGATCAAGGACTTCCCAATCAGCCAGATGTACGAGGTGAGAGTGACAATGAGTATTCGAGGGCACGTGCTCGGCGCCACGGCAAACACGTGGAGAAGCTGAACAAGGACCGGCTGGAGACATGGGGGCGGTGCCCTGAAGGACGACAAGTTCGAGGAGGCGCCCCTGCGGACTCCGCTGGTGGCCTCGGCGGTCCCCGTGGGCGCCACGTGCTCCTGCTTGCCCTCGGCGTGATCCTTAGCGCCTGGGGCGGCTCCAGGAAGGTGGACAAGGGCCCGAGGGGGCCCAGGGCCAAGCAGCTCGTGGGCATGAAGTAGGTGTGAGTGGAGGCGCCCCGCGGCCCGCGCGGGCCGTCAGCGGGCGGGGGGTTGGGCTTTCTGACGGGTGGGATCTGCTTCGGGCCCCTCCCTCGCCTCGGGCCCCGTGGGCCCGTTTTCGTCTTCTGGCGGCATTCCGCCCTCGGTGCGTTCGGCCTCTGGTAGGCCATCCCCGAGGCTGATCCTCCTGTGGGAAATGCTTAGCTCGTTTGTTAGAGCTGCCCAGCGTCCGTCGGAGTTATGGATTCATATGGCGCGAATGGGGTCGTAGTAGTAGTAGTAGTAGTAGTAGTAGTAGTAGTAGTAGTAGTAGTAGTAGTAGTAGTAGTAGTAGTAGTAGTAGTAGTAGTAGTAGTAGTAGGAGGAGGAGGAGAAGGAGGAGGAGGAGGAGGGAGTTCGCCTGCCCCGCGTTCTCTCGTTGCTTTGCACGCCGGGGAGAGCTCCGCCAGCAGACCCTCGACATCTGCAGCGCTGGCGGCCCGGCTGCGGAGCTGCACGCCCGTGGCCTGCAGCTGGTTCTGCACCGACATGTTCGTTGCCCGCATCTGCGCGGAGGTCCACGAGGAGAGCCTTGATGTTCACGTGGTCTGGACGTTCACGACGTTCTGTTCCATCACTGAGGTACAGATGAAGCCCATGTCAAGAAACACCCTGCTTGCCTCCAGGGTTCCCTGGGTTCCTTGGGTTTCGTGGTTCTGCGGTGGAAAACGTGACGTCCCCATACCAACAATCAATGGACATCATGGGGTCTCAGGGATGAGTGTCTTGCGGAAGGTTTTCTTGTGGTCGAGCTCCTTCTGTAGATGGGCGCACAGGCTCTACATAGAGCTGCACGTTGTCACTGTCTCAACTGTTTGGCCCACTGCTCGAGGTCCACGGGGTGACTGCCGTGGCTCCCCACGCGCGTCTTCACCTACAGCGGGGGGACGCGCATCAAGAGACTAGATGCTTGTCGTCAGGGTGCCCTGGGTTTCTTCACTCCGCGCGCTGCGCGGTGACTTCCCGCGGCCGTTGGAGGAGCTGCTGCGTTCAGGGTGCTCTGGGCCCCCCCCCGTGTGCATCTTGCGGGCGAGCTTCCACTGCTGGGCTGCCGGCGAGGGTTTCTTGCGGCCGCATCCGTGCTGGAGGTACTTGACCGATGAAGTCTGACACCGACGGGCCCGTGATGTGGCGGGTCGGGTAGTACGCAATGCCGATCCGAAGACTTCTGTTGCGAGTCTTATGAGAGGCCCAGGAGCTCAGACTCCATGGCTGAGCCTTTTAAAGTGTCTGGCCAGCTCCCGTCGACGAATCCCTGAGGAGCCTGCCATGGAGAAAGTACAGAACCTGCACGGGGGATCAGACATCATGGAGCGGACAACGAAGGGAAGCATAGATACCTGCTTGTCGAGGCTTGAGCCAAAAATAGCTACGGTGTTTTTCCTCTTCCGTTCGTCTCCTCCTCCTCCTCCGCCTCCTCATCATCCTCCTCCCTCTCCTCCTCCTGCTGCTGCTGCTGCTCCTCCTCCTCCTCCTCCTCCTCCTCCTCCTCCGCGCCATCGTTCCTCTGGCAAGGGTTGCCGCGGCTCGGTCAGCTCCGCTGCGTCACGGTCGGTTGCGCGCTCGGTCGGTCCGCTTCGGCCGCATCGGCCGCGCCCTTTTGCTGCGCCGCTGCGCCCTTCCAGGCTGCTCCCGCGTCCCGCTGGTTTCGGTCGGCTGCTGGCTCGGTCGGTTTTCCAGTGCGCTGTCGTCGCCGTGGACGGCCCTGCCTGCCTCCTCCGCGCCCTCCCTCCCTCATCCTTCCGTGG